AGTAGTCCAGACGTGAGGTTACCAGAGCATGCACCACAGTTTCCAGGTTCTTCCTCTCCATATAAGGGCACAGTTGGCGTATCAGAAAAACATCTTGTTATTGTTTTTCTTGTTTGCTTTAATGTCAAGAAATCATGGGGTTTTCTTGGCAAGATTTGTTCAGAGGAGCTTTGCCATTGCCCTTTCCCTGAGGCTGAGAGTGTATGACTTGTCCAAGGTCACCCAGTGGGTTTTATGGCTGATCTGGGAATTGAACCCTAATCTCCAGAGTCAGATCCAACTCTCAAGCCACTATGCTACACTGGTTTCTCCATAACATATTGTTACAACATTCTGTAACAAGATGTGCCATGCATGTGTATATGCAATTTAAAAGACCTACAGTTATTTAGAGGTTATTTACTTCCCTTTTCTAAAAGGAACATCTTATAAATTCCCCACCAGTGAGCTCATTAGTATAAATGATGGAGCCTCACGTCAGATTTCAAGTCAGCAGTTTTCTCTTCTTCCCCCCTCCAACCTGCATTTCCCAAAGTTATCGCTTGCTATTTTTCACTATAACACAGCTACAGAAGACTTTTTGATAGCTGGCAAATTGGTCCCAAGAGCAGGAGAAGACATTTCAGGGGGAAGGGATGTCTCAGCAAGATATACAGGTCTACTTTTGCAGATAATCAAGATTATACTGTACCCAAGCCAATGCTCGTTGACAGCTTGGGATACTTATGCGGAGCTGGGAAAAGTTACTTTTCAGGACTACCTCTCCCAGAATCCCCCATTCAGCCTTGGGGGTGGGTTCTATAAGGTGTAGTCCAGAACAGTAATTTTGGCAAGCTCTGGTGTTATGACTGAATGGAGTTACAGACAGAGGAGCAAGGCTTCATATGCTAGATCCACCTCTTTGAGCCCTCACTCTCTCTGCATTAAAAGAGACATCCATAGAAGTCTTGTATCTGGTTGAATATGAATGATGAAGCAGGAGGCTTTCCATATGCCTGTATCACTGAAAAGAGATAGAAACAAGGCAAGATATTATTATCTCCCCCAGAAGAGCTGGTTGGTGGAAGCAATGCACAAGCAGGAACTCATAAAGAGGAACAACAGAGTTCCCTGTAGTTGGCTAATCTGAGGCTCATGAGAACTAGTTAAAGAATTTATTTCTCACAGCAGACTAAACGTTAAGGGGAAATGTGTGCATTTCAGCTGTTCTAAAGTGTGGGGTAAATTCTGTGGAGAAAGCTTGCTCAGTATTGGTTATGATACTACTCTATCAATCCTAGGCATTCTTGGGAAGCCAAAATGGCAGCCAGGATCAAAAGTGAGGAAGCAGAAGGAATCCTGATAATTTTTCCACTCCTCTAGAATTTCATCCCATCCCTGATTTCTATGGGACTTGTATGATCAGGTCAAGATTTTCCTTAAAAATCTTGAGTGTTGGTGTCAGGCTCTGGATCCATATTGTCAGGATCAGACCAAAAACCTACCTAGTCCACCTACTGTTCCAATCAGATGTCAATGGAAACTACACAAAAGCAGGACATTTATGCAAGACCACCTTCCCAACTCAGGTGTTCACCAAACTGGTATTCAAAGAGGCATACTTTAATCTAATTATATTAATATAATATACACCCATCATGAGTAGTAGCCACTGATAGGTTTATACTCCTAGAGTTATTTTTAAAGTTATTTTTCCTCGTTACATCTCCCTAAATCTCCACAGTCATCTGATGAATTTTGGGAGCTACAGTTCTGAGAAATAATTCTCCCAAGCTCTATATTGGCTGTGCATTTGTCTTGTCCCCTTTACAAACCATCCATACTACTGGCCATCATGATGCATGGAGTTGGCAAACTCCATAGTTCCACTGTGTGTTTTCTGCTGAAATATTTCTTTTTAGCTATCTTGCTTCAGGTTTTATTTTGCTTTGATAGCCTCTTTTTCTTTTTCTTTTTCTTTTTCCTTCTTTTGCAAAATAACTCAGAGTCCCCTATTTCCTTCCCACCCTCTTAAAACAATGTGATTCTTTTTCACTTCAAATGAAATTTTCAATTTGCACAGCATTTACAAACCTCTGGATTTCAAGCATCTGGAATGTTTTGCAAGATTATCAGCCATCAACAGAGAGTGACAATTGCTGTAGTCTTGTTATTCAGGCATTATCAATTTCTGCCTTGCTTAAGGGTAATGGGGCCCACTCCAAATGGCTCCCCACCTCACTCTGCCTGATGCTCTTTGCTAGGCATTCTGCAGTGCCTCATGCAGGCGCCTCTGGGAATAGCTGCCAGGGAGAAGCAACTCTTTGTTGACCCCAAATACAATCAGAGGCTTATGGCTGCAAGCTTAGCCCACAGTTGGGATTGTGACCCAGAAAACATTGCATCTTCCAAAGGGGGGTGGAGAGCTTTTCTACTGGAAATGTGAATGCATTTGAAATGGTAAGCAAGAGAGGAAGGGAGACAATTAAAAGAAGTGATTTTAAGCATGATAGAGAAAGCACATGCTGTAAAACGTAGGCCACACATTCTCCAGTCTATGACAATGAATTGTCCTTAGGTAAAGGTATTCCCCATTGACAAGTCATGTCCAGCTATAGGGGTTGGTGCTAATCTCCGTTACTAAGCCGAAGAGCCAGAAACTACTCTGTCAGAGACTACTCCGTGATCATGTGGCCAGCATGATTGCACAAAATGCTGTTTATCTTCCCACTGAAGTGGTACCTATTTGTCTACTTGCATTTGCATGCTTTCGAACTGCTAGGTTGGCAGAAGCTGGGACTAGTGATGGGAGCTCACCCCATCATGAAGCACCTGGGCCTCGAACTGCCAACCTGCCGATCTTGCAGTCAACAGAATTAGTGTCTTAACCACCTGAGCCACTACATCCCTTTTGTCCCTGCTCAATATGATTAAGTATCTGGGGCAGCTGGTGGCTCCCACATCATTGGGTTGGTGAGTCTGCTCCAGGTTGTAGTATGAACTAGAACATCTGTCTAAGGGGCTGAATCTATTTTGGAGGATTTGGCTTATTGCCTTGCATAGCTCTTTTAAAGTTCACCTTGAAATAAAGCATGGACATAGAAGCCACCAGTCACCACTGTTAAGCATATGAAAGATCTTAGCCTGGCTTGGCTCTACAAAAATGAATGGATGGGGATGTCCTATTTGCCTAAGTCTGCAGAGTCTACCTGTATATATGTTGGATCTCTGCAAAATTATTTCTTTAAATACGGGGATAGAGCATACATAGATATGGCATCTCTATGTAGTCTCTGCTTACAAGTTCAGATAAACAGGTGGAAGACAGATCCTACTCCATCCTCTGAATATTCATTTCTACATAGATCAACATGTGAAGAAATCTACTGCATGATTTATCTTCTTCTGCTGCAACTGCATTGGCCTCTTTGTTGTTAACTGCCCTCGAGTTGATTTCAACTCATGGCAGCCCTACAGATAAGACCTCTCCAAGACCCTCTGTCCCCCCTGCTCTGCTTAATTCCTGCAACCCCTTAA